TGGGAAATGGCGGGGCAAAATGGCTGTTGCCATCTTGAGGCACACTTGCCAGCGTAAAAGCCATGTAAATTAGTTCAATCATTTCTAAAGGGTGAAGCCCAAAAAGCTTTTAGATGCAAGATATTGGAATTAAAGTATAGTTTCCTATTACTCAAGTGTTGTACAGCGGATCCTCCAAAAGCCAATATAAACACATGCTTGCACATACATACATATACGTTACCTTGACTGGCGAATACATTCGCACAATTTTCCCAAATGAGTTTCGTTTAGCTTATGAAGCGGTTTTATTTCAAATACCTTTTTCAATTCCTCACTTCTCGGTAAGTTGGTTGTATTGAGGTCAGTTAGACTTCAATCAACCCTAAACCGAACTCTTAACTTAATATCATAAAAGCAAAAGCAAAAATATGAAATACTCTTTCAGAAGAACGTGCAACGGGCGCTTTTCATTGCATTTTCGCCACAATGTTGCTTAAATTGATACATCCAACACACTCGAAGGGCGCTTAGAAAACATACATACATACAGATTGAAATTATTACAAGAATCTTTTTGTGGCATTTCAACTGACTGGCCAAAAACATTTTCAAATGCAGAGGTGAATGGTGTTGCCAAAAATTAGCAGTTCAAACATTAATTAGAGCTGAAAAGCTCGGCATTGAAGTGTGGTGAAAGAGTCAGAACCTGATTAGTTTCTAGCTCTGCTCAACAAATTTAAAACATTTAAAGCACAAATGCCGAACTGGAGCAGCGACTACGTAAGTAGGCAACAGTTTTTCCACTGCCCAAGTTCTTGGAAATTGCTTTCAAAGTGTTTGGCAGCGGGTGTCGCCTGGATTCGTGCCAAATTCTCTATTTAGCGGCGCTAATGCTAATGGCCTCTGGCTCCGTCTAGCAGAAAGGCGTGCGTAAATACGAGTATATATAATTTGGTGCATCCCATGGAGCTTGACTGCACTCTAATGGGTGTGGACATGCTGCGGAAAGTTTGAAGGCACTAAAAATACAATTAACAAGACTCTAGTATTTATAGCATGTTGTAGAGCTTTAAGTCCTCTTCTTCGATTGCTCAAGATGCATTTCGTCTATGTATATATGTGCGCTATGAATGGCTTTTCAACCATTTCAACTTGAATTTTTATAAACCCTTGTCTAATTATTTGCTAAATGTGTTGTATTTGCATAGGAAACAAGGCTGCAAGCCGGTTTTGAACCAAACTTCGGTTTTGATATAAAAAGTTTAAATATTTAGCAATTTTTCGTCGGGGTCAGCTAGTCCCAACTACTTCTTATTATAAATTATCTATCCAATTTTAAACTTGGAAATAAAAATCAAGCATATAGTTTTCGAAATACAAAAATAAAAACACACCCATAATCTGTATCGAGCTGCTGCCAAAGGCTCCATATACTGCCATTGCCGGGCGACTCAGTCATACCCGCTAGTATCTAAAAACATATTCTTTTTGTCTATGAAAGAAATGGAGTCGAGTCATTTGCACTAGTTAGTAGAAACGATTGGCATGTTGCAGCAACATGTTGCGTGTGTGAAGCGTGCATGCGAATGTGAATGCCGCGGCCATGCGGCTTTGCTTGCTGTGCACACCATTAACTGGCAAATAATTAAGTACGTGCAATGGGTAGGCATTTTTAAGGACATTTCAGCTGAACATTGGCAAATATTTAGACGGCAATTAAAAGTGACTGTCGCTTTTGCTGTCGTTGTTATAGAATCTGGTGCGGTCTGGCCCGGGCTTGTCAGACACGCATTACAGTTGGGCAGGTGGGTTTGCCAGCTAAGTGAATCTGTTTAGCCTGCAGCATAACATTTTGCCAAATTGAAAGTCAGTCAATTGCAGAACTTGTTTGGGCAATGGACTCATCAGTTGGCCAATATTGTCGCATTAAAAACTGTCCTCACAGCGTTTCATGTGGCAGCAACAAGAGGTTGGCCAAATGTGCGTTGTAAACTTTCGTAAATGTGAAAAAAGGTCCACAAATAAACAAATCAGGTGCCTCCCGGACTTTGGGCTCTGCTCGACCATTTTACTTATAATTTATGATATAAACCGGAAGGGTAGCTAAGCCGGCGGCAGCCCGGCACAGCTAAGACATCTCCGGCCGTAAAGCACAAAACTGAAATATTGCCCAACATTTTTATTATTTGCACACATTCCTACTGCTGGCAGTCGACCAAAGTAGCTGTAGTTGTTTGTTGACTGCTGTGTATTGAGAGTTGGCTGTTTGGTTGGGTGCGTTAGAAGCGTTGGGAGCGCAGGCAGCAAAAGGCGCATAAATAAAATCCTGGAAATGCTGACTGAGTTTCTGGCTCTGCTGTGGACATATAAACAAGAGCAGTCAAGAACAAGTACAACAACAACTACAAGAACTACGAAAGTGGGTTTCATATGCCTCTTATTGGGCATAAATCTATAAACATGCCAAGACAATTGTTCTCCTTACACACCAAATGAAAATAAGAGCGGGCTCAACTCCCATCTGACCCAATTCCTTATGCTATTCATTAGACTTTGTTCACAATATATCCAAAACCATACAAAACCACACAAATTTCACTGAATCCGCATAAATTCGACGCATCCATAACTGTGCTGAAAGAACAGCCTTTATTCTACTTGAAATCGCAAATATGCCGGGAATTCCCTTAGCACTTAATGATGCTATTTTATCTGCAATGTGATTTCTTTATAAAAAGGCTTTTTATATGAATTATATTTTATTCTTTAAACATTGTGCATTAGTTAACTTGGCAAGATTCATATTTAATAAATAGATGAGTAAAACAGAATTTAACATTCTGAGTATAAACCACAAAGATTATTTCGGAAGTCTCGAAGATGTTTGGTCAATTCGAGAACTTCATTCACAACAATAAATAGTTCACAAGATCCATAAGATCCCTCTCACTTGTCAGTTACATAAGACCGCCAATTCTCGAGCAGCTCCGATGGAAACAGAGAATCAAAGGTATTGTTGTTGCTGTTGCTGCTATTGTTTGCCGCAAATTAGTTCAGTTAGCTAGGGACAGTCGAGCTGGCTCGCGCCACACGCCACTCACCATTGAAAAGCCATCTCAATGTTATCTAGCATTTATCGTTCATTCAGTGTGTGCGCACACATCAACTGCGCTTAATACGTGGGGCAAGTGGAGGGCATGCGGAGGGCACGGATAGTGGGTTATTTGTCATTAATATGCAAACAGTTAACTACAACATGTGCATGCTTTGTGTGCATGCCTGTGTGTGTGTGTGGGTGTGCGTGTGTGTGTCTGTGTCTGTGTCTATATTGAGTGTGCAACATGGCAAGTTGATTCAGCTCTCGCTGGTTTCAATCAATGCCGGAAGCGGAAGTTAATTGTGCGCATGTTTCATGCAGTCAACGGCTGTTTAAGCATTTTGCCTAATGGCAACAACAATTAAGGACGAGAATGAGAGAGAAAAACAGTTGCCATATTTTTATACACATTTTGCATAGGGCCAAAAGCTTAGATATTGATATTGTGTATTGTTCGCATGCCTGTCAAAATATTATATCCGTGTCAGAGATTATTTCAAAAGTATTTTTGGCCATGCTTCAATTTTGGTTCCATCGAATTTTTAATGCCTAATTTGCAGATCAAGCCAATTCCTCCGTCCTATAATATTGATTGGTACCCAAATTGTATGGAACAGAGCATTGCGCAGTCTAGCAATACCAACTGCAACGCTTTTATTTGCAATGCAGGGCAAACTGGTAGCCATCCTTTTAAATGTAAATACCAAAATTCAATAAACTGCTAAAGTCGCAGCCACATTCAGCATATACGCACAAACGAGAGCAGGCGGACGGGCGGGCAGGCAGGCAAAAAATGTAATTTGTCGCTAACCAAGTGTGTACTAACCTCATTTTACTAAAAGCATTAAAAATAAAATGTAATCACATGCTTCATAAAAGTAATAACTACACACACACACACATGCACAGATAGAGATAGATAGAGAAGGAGCAAGACGCAAGATTCCTGCACTTCTGAGCGTGCCTGACTACGTGTCGCTATAAAAGTGCTTGTGAATGTGCGAGTGTGTGAGTGTGCGATTCAGTATGTGTGTGCTTGCGTGTGTGTGACTAACTGTTAAAGCCTTGACGTCGCGACGTCAGCCATCGCTGTCACTGCCAACAGCCATAGCCCATAGTCCATAGACGCCATTGTCTATGTCAAAGCACGCACAGCGCTGCCCCATTCACAGCGAGAGAGATAGAGAGATGAGAGACAGAGGGGGCCATTGCATTAGTGTGCGTGCGCGTCTGATTTTTACGAGACGATTATGGCTTGCTTTTTATTATTTGCCATTGAGCTAAAGTGTTGTGACATGGAAATGGTCCTGGAAATCGGCTACGAATGTAAGCACCTCGACCTGCCTGGCTTGTGCAACTGTTGCGTGGCTTTAATACTTGTGTATTAATTACGGATCCTCAAAATGTTGTAGTTTGCAACTACAACTGCAACTGCAGCTCGTTATTGGCCAATGCCCAGTCCCAATTATAATAAACTGACTTTTTTCAGACACTTGAAGACAGTTCGCTGTCAGTGGCATCGATGCTGCAAGTCTGCGCACGAATGTTGACAAATGCAGTGTCAACGAAATGAAATATTAAGGCCAGTAATCCAAGTTTTTTGCTCGAAAAATTGGCTTATTAGAAAAGTGTCAGAATTTCAGATTCAGATTCATTCAGCATTTCGAGCAACCAAGTGGCCAAGAGTCTTTTCTTGTTCCATAGACAGGCAAAGTATCCATAATTGGCGCAGACCAACCCATAAAACACAATTGAAAAGTTGATAACTAAGTGAAAACTTTAAGGATAATTAAACTACGAATTTAGTGAAAACTATTTGTGGTTAATGAACTACCCACGAGCTTTATAATTTGCCGCATTGGCCACAGCTCGTTGCAACATCAACAATTAGCCAAAGCCGGCCCAAGTGAGCTCGTGCGGCTTAAAGCCGGCTCTCATTGTTGTGGCTGCGGGGTGGGCAGGCCAGAACATACTCTATGATGGCCAGCCATGCGTGACAATCGGACGCTAAAAATGCCAAGCTTTGCTAAAGTTTATAATGGAATTTGTTAACATGAATAATTAGGTACACGAGACTCTGTCCAGCTGATGGTGGGCCCGACCTCGTTGTTACACATGCATATGTTCGTATTCCAACTATGCACGAGCTGGCATTAAATTTTTCGAAATTGGCTAATTAACTTGATTGACTTTCATTTAATAAGCGTTTGGCGAATGGGTTTCAGCCAACAAGGCTGTGCCTATCGATGACCAGCTAGCAGCAAACCAAATCCCCTATAGCTGATTCCAATACCTTCTATTGAAATACCACCTTCATTAATTATGTCTCTCGGCCGGCTTTCAAGTAATTTATTAGCGATTTTCTTAGAAAATGCGGAGTAACCATCGGCAAGGAATGCGCAATTTAATGAAATTTGGCTTATGGGAGCTGCGCATCAGTTACGAAATTCTCAACGGCTTCCGCAGGGCTTTTGCTTATCATAGTCAAGCGAAATTGTATGCAAATGATTATATAGCTAACCATGCCAAAAATAAACTGCAACAAAAACGTAAATACCATAAACTTTCTAAAATGGTTTAGGTATTTCAATTCTCTCACCTTTCCCAGTGTCTCATTATTGATAACCATCAAGCCACCCGCACTAAATTCAAATCTCTCCTGACCCAGTTGCCCGGAGATGCGGTATAAATCAGCATTTAGCTGCGCATTTTGACGATCTGTGGTCAATCCATGGAATATGGATCGAAGCTGACGCTGCAGCAGTGCGCATCGGGTACAGATGAAGCTGGCAACAAAGAGGCCCATAAGCTTGCATATTTCCTCAGTTGCGCAGTCTGCAAACAAATGTGAATCAAGTTCAGGAAATCAACAGATGAACAGCAAATGCTACCCACAGTATGTAGTGGAAATATTTATATGGTTGTGCCTATTGACAAGTATCCAATAGGGCAGCACGGAGGTATCCACAAAGTACTTTAGCATCACAATCACCAGGCTCAGCTCAAAGTTTCGTTCGATGGAGCGCACTGTGTTCCACAGCAGTCCGTGCAGATGTTGGACCATGGCCAAACGCTCCAGCGATAAACGCCGTAAAGACCACACTTCAAAGCGTGTCTTATCCAGCTCTAAGATCAGCCTGAAACTGACCTCACGCAGCTCCATATAGAAGACCAATATCAGTACCGCATACAACGTAAAATTGCTGAGCCGCATCAGCAGCACCGCCTCCGAGTAAATTGCGTAGAAAAGCAACAGCGCCGTATCCGTGACCACGTGATTGTATATGGTCAGCAGAAAAAGGGTCAGACAGCAGATTAGCAATAGAGAGTAGATGATATTGCAATAGCGACACAAGCGGACCAGGTTTACCTTATGCCCGAACTGGACTCGTAGAATGTACCGCATTCGTTCCAGCTGCTGTTCAATCTCGTCGCTGCGATTTCTCCAGATCAATTCCATTGCGACTATCCAGTGTGCGATGGTTAATGTCACAAAGTTCAATAAGTCGACGACACGCGAAAATTTATCATTTCGATCGTAAACAACTCCGTAGTTGAAGAAAAATCGCCAACGCAAGACAAAGGCCAAATAAATTAACAACCCAATTGAGTAGAGCAGCTTTAGCTGCACATGAGGGCGTGGCGGCAGCAGCAATATGCATTGCATTAAGCGGCTCATGCAGCGCAGAGAAGCTTCGTGTAATTTACCAGGTGCATGCCACATGACTGAAGTAGCTCGCTTCTATTCAGGTACATAGAATCACAATCAATGGCTAATTGGCTAATTGAAAAGACAAGCGCTTTTATCGCTACACGGACAATTACCTTCGATGCGGCGCTGCACTCTAGAGTATCCTTTACTTAGTCGGTGACTCACTTGTTCGATAAAACCAATATTTACTTTTTATAATTTTCTAAATAAAAAAGTGTTCATACCGCTCCAAAAACGTACCGTTCAAATTTAATTAACAAATTATATAGATGTTTATATCGATACAAGTAGATGCCCTTGTGAAGTCGGTTGTATGGAAGTCTACATGTTATCCAGTTTGGAGTCTAAAAAAACTCTTCAACCTGTTTCATGTAAGCCAAGCTGAGCACCAATTATGCGTTTCTTAAAGATATTCCAGAGATGTTCTCTTCTAATTTATTTGTGTTTATTTATTCATTATTTAATTGTTTTTGCATTTCGAATAAAAACAGGGCAATCGGATGGTAAACAAAAGAACGTTTATACATCTGTTTTATTTTAGCAAATTTGCGAGTGGAATATCCCAAAATCTCATCTTTGTATATTTCCACATCAAATGTGACTATATCACTGACTGTATTTCTTAAAATACCTATGACAAGTGTTTCGCATTTTTCGAAAATTTCACCGTTTATGTCAGAAATGAGGTTCACGAATTATATGGACTATAATTCCAGTTTACAATTGCATTCCGTTTAGTGGAAATCTGTTATTCGATATTTCCCAAGGGCCTACTTACTTTTGATGTTCTATCAAGTTATAAATAAAAAGCAACATTTTAAAATTAAATTTTAATATTTGTCAATAGTTGTAGTCAGATTGTGTGATTTTGTTTAAGTAGAATCAAAGCAGCGGTCACTTCACTTTCTCCCTCCAAGACCTTTAGGTTGTATGTAATACGAAACTGTACGCAAATAAAAATATAGCTCACCACGCCGAACAGGAACTGAAAAAGACGTAACTTTTATAACTACCAAATACCTAAAATTACATGTGTAGATGTGTAGATTACCTTGCCTAACATTTCATTGTTGATCTTTACCAAACCGCCAACTCTTAGCTGACAGGTTTCTTGTCCAAGTTGAGCCGAAATTCTAAGCAAGGCGGTATTTAGCTGCTCATTGCGACGATCCACTGATATACCATGAAAAAGAGATCGAAACTTGCGCTGCAGATGATCGCAACGCGTACAAATCCAACAGGGAATACAGATCTCTAAAAGTTTTCCGCTTTCCTCAGTTGTACACCCTAGAACAGAAATATGTAAATATGAGAGCTGACGGGACATATTAGATATGTATTTACCTACAGATCTGCATTGGAAAATTGTCTACATATATTCGGTTCAGATACGCCCAGTATGGAAGTACTGAAATATCTATAAAATATTTCAGCAGCACCATGACGAGACTTCGTTCAAAGTTGCGCTCGATGTCGCGTTGAGTCTTCCAGAGCAGTAGATGCAACTGTTGTAAAGTGGCGATGCGTTTGAGGGGCACACGGCGTTGAGACCAAATCTTAAAATGTATACTCTCTAGCTCCGAAATAACACTCGTGGCAGCATCAATCAACTCCTGGTAGATGGCCAAGACGAGTGCCGAATGCAATGTAAATTCGCTGCATCGCAGTATGAGCACGACTTCCGAGTAGAAGTTACCGATAAGCAGGAGCGAGGTGCTCGTAGCTAAATTGTTGTAAATTGTCATGCCGAAGATCACCGATACACGCAAAAATAAAAAGCTTAAAATAAGATTGCTGTTAAACCGAACTCGTTGGAGATTGACTTTGCGACCAATTGCCTCGCTAAGGACGTTTTGCATTTGTAGAAACTGCTTCTCAATTTGATCGCTGCGGTTCCTCCAGAGCAACTCCGTAGATACAATACAATGGCAAACAATTAATGCCACAAAGTCTATTAAATCGATGATGCGCGACAAATGATCATGCAGTCGATCGTAGCTCACTTTGTAATTAAACGCAAATCGCCAGCGAAATATAAGAGCGAGATATACGAACGCAATTCCATTGTAAAGCAACTTCAGATGGAGATGTTGGCGTGGTGGCACAATTAATGCTAAGCGCATTAGGAACTGCATTAAGCGCAGCGCAGAGTCGTGTAGCTTAATTGACACATAACCCATGACTGAGGGGTCATTGCAAAGTGTCTGCACTTTGACTGAGGGATTAAAAATCAATAACTAATTGGCTTATTAAAATGATATGATTATTGTATGGACTTTAAATGAGCCAACGTAACTTATCACAAGTTCGTTTTAATTAATAACTTTGCTGCTTATATACTCCAATCCTCATCAAATTGCAAAGTTATCGCCTTAAAATTGACGTTTTTTTTAATAATTTAATATGTGTATATTTTCCATATCTTGGTATACTATACGAAAAGTTACTTGCCAAATTTTGTGTATTTCATTTTATACTTTAAACAACATGAACACCCATCCCTATGCGTATTTTGAATAGTTGAACTCAGTTGAAGTAACGAGCCCCGTGGCGTGTTCTTCTTCAATATGGTCTATAAAAGTTAACTGAAACTGAATGCAAATAATAAAGTAGCTAAGCATGCCAAACAAGAACTGAAAAATATAGAATTGAATATATATTATGTACAACGCGATTGCGAAGCACTCTTACTTTGCCCAGCATTTCATTGTTAATTATCAAAAAGCCGCCAACACTAAACTGTGCCGTTTCCTGTCCAAGCTGCACAGATATTCTCAACAAAGCGTTATTCAGGTGCTTATTATGGCGATTCGCTGTTAAACCATGAAAGAGCGATCGAAATTGGCGCTGCAGACTTCCGCAGCGTGTACAGATCCAACAGGGTATCCCAATCTCCAACAGCTTGCCAAGCTCCTCAGTTAGACCATCTGCAAATGATAACTTGATCTTCGAGTGAAATGAAGCTGGAAATATTACCTACATAGCTGAATTACACCAGACACTCGCTTTTGAATTATATTGACAAACATCCAGTATAGTGTAACTGCAGTGTCCACAAAGTTTTTCATAATAACAACAATGAGGCTTCGCAAAAAGTTCTGCTCAATATCGCGTTGGGTTTTCCATAGCAGTAGATGTGTTTGTTGCAGACCAGCAAAGCATTCCGAAAAAAAACTATAATCGGAACATAGATCCAGACGAAGTCTTTCCATGCCCAAAAGGATTTCGTTGGCCGCTTCATTAAGCTCTTGGAAGAAGGCCAAAACAAGCACAGTATGCAAACTAAACTCTCCACAGCGCAGTGTAAACAGAGTCTCCGAATAGAGATTACAGAGAAGAAAGAAATTTTTCGTAGTTATCAAGTTGTATATTGTAACTGTTGCCAGCACCGCAATTCGAATAAAATTAAATCTATAGATGACATTGCAGTAGCCTTCTATTCTAACGAGATTCACTTTGCGTCCCAATCGGATACGCAGTATGTCATGGATTTCTTGGAACTGCTGCTCAATCTTCTTGCTTTGATTGCTCCAGAGCAGCTCCATGGCGACTACACAGTGTCCGATAAGTAATTCCAAAATGCCAGCCAGGTAAAAGATTCCCGACTTATTATCAAGAAAAACAATATTATGACTGAGCAATCGAAAGATAAACCCGATATAGACCAGCAACGCTATATTGTAAAGTAGCTTCATATACAAATGAGAACGTGGTGGAAGAATTAACAGGCAGTGCATCGAGCCACGCATACGCCGCAACGATGCGACGTCTAATTCGCCCGACAAATGCCACATGACTGAGGCGGTCCACGGTGACAAATACCCGGCACATGTTATATATACAATTAATTAACTTTTTATATAGAGTTTAAAAAATTAATATATATCTGTTTCTTTTTATACCCTGAACCCATTAAAAATGGGTATAAGGGTATATTGTATTTGTGCAAAATCCAAATGTATGTAACAGGCAGAAGGAAGCATCTACGACCCCATAAAGTATATATATTCTTGATCAGCATCAATAGCCGAGTCGATCTAGCCATGTCCGTCTGTCTCTACGTCCGTCCGTCCGACCGTCCGTCCGTCCTTATGTATGAACGCAAGGATATCAGAACATATAAATGCTATAGACTTGACATTTTAGATGTAGGTGCTCCTAGTGCCACCGCAGATCGTGTTTGTTTCCGAGCAATCGATAACTTACTCCGTTTCCAAGCAATTGATAAAAATCGATATCGAATCCTGTTTATTTGGGCAATTTGGGTTTTCAAAATCGAGATCTCGGGTAATAGCTCCGCGTGGAGATATGATGTTTCAAAACGACATAACTCCGCGGAGATATGACGTTCCAAAACGACATAACTCCGCGGAGCTATGACCTTCCAAATCATCACGTTTTTTTTCAAAATCGAGGTCGGTGCGAATATCGAATCTTTTTCGATGGTTTTTTTTTAATATCTCGGATAATAGCTCCGCGCGGAGATATGATGTTCCAAAACGACATAACTCCGCGGATATATGAAGTTCAAAACGACATAACTCCGAGGAAATATGACGTTCCAAAACGATATAGCTCCGCGGAGATATGACGTTCCAAAACGACATAACTCCGCGGAGATATGACCTTCCAAATAATCACGTTTTTTTTCAAAATCGAGGTCGGTGTGAATATCGAATCTTTCTCGATGGTTTTTCTTAATATCTCGGGTAAATAATGTCTGATTTTAAAATGTTATCCCTTTTTGAATGCGTACGGATCCCTTTCATCAATTGGCATTCAAATAAATTAATCATCGACCTCTATCGCTTGGCATCAAAAAAAGGAAATTCAAAATGTTAACCCAAATCGACAAAATGGCAAGGGGTTACATCACGTTTTTTTTCAAAATCGAGGTCGGTGCGAATATCGAAACTTTTTCGATGATTACTTTTTAATATCTCGGATAAAAGCTCCGCCCGGAGATATGATGTTTCAAAACGACATAACTCTGCGGAGATATGACGTTCCAAAACGACATAACTCCGCGGAGCTATGACCTTCGAAATCATCACGTTTTTTTTCAAAATCGAGGTCGGTGCGAATATCGAATCTTTTTCGATGGTTTTTTTTTAATATCTCGGATAATAGCTCCGCGCGGAGATATGATGTTCCAAAACGACATAACTCCGCGGAGATATGACGTTCCAAAACGACATAACTCGGCGGAGATATGACGTTCCAAAACGACATAGCTCCGCGGAACATCATATCTCCACGGAGTTTTGTTGTTTTGGCAGGTCATATAACTCCGCGGAGTTATGTCGTTTGGGAACGTCATATCTCCAAGGAGTTATGTCGTTTTGGAACGTCATATCTCCGCGGAGTTATGTCGTTTTGGAACGTCGTATCTCCGCGGGGCTATGCCGTTTTGGAAGGTCATATCTCCGCGGAGTTATGTCGTTTTGGAACGTCATATCTCCGCGGAGTTATGTCGTTTTGGAAGGTCACATATCTCCGCGGAGTTATGTCGTTTTGGAACGTCATATCACCGCGGAGTTATGTCGTTTTGGAAGGTCATATAACTCCGCGGAGTAATGTCGTTTTGCAACGTCATATCTCCAAGGAGTTATGTCGTTTTGGAACGTCATATCTCCGCGGAGCTTTGTCGTTTTCGAAGGTCATATCTCCGCGGAGTTATGTCGTTTTGGAACGTCATATCTCCGCGGAATTATGTCGTTTTGGTAGGTCATAACTCCGCGGAGTTATGTCGTTTTGGAACGTCATATCTCCAAGGAGTTATGTCGTTTTGGAACGTCATATCTCCAAGGAAGTATGTCGTTTTGGAACGTCATATCTCCGCGCGGAGCTATTATCCGAGATATTAAAAAAAAACCATCGAAAAAGATTCGATATTCGCACCGACCTCGATTTTGAAAAAAAACGTGATGATTTGGAAGGTCATAGCTCCGCGGAGTTATGTCGTTTTGGAACGTCATATCTCCGCATAGTTATGTCGTTTTGAAACATCATATCTCCGCGGAGCTATATCGTTTTGGAACGTCATATCTCCGTGGAGCTATGTCGTTTTGGAAGGTCATATCTCCGCGGAGTTATGTCGTTTTGGAACGTCAAATCTCCGCGAAGCTATGTCGCCTAGGAACATCATATCTCCGCGGAGTTATGTCGTTTTGGAACATTATATCTTCGCACGGAGCTATTACCCGAAATATTAAAAAGAAATCATCGAAAAAGTTTCGATTTTCGCACCGACCTCGATTTTGAAAAAAACAACGTGATGATTTGGAAGGTCATATCACCGCGGAGTTATGTCGTTTTGGAACGTCGTATCTCGGCGAAGCTATGTCGCTTAGGAACTTCATATCTCCGCGGAGCTATTTCGTTTTGGAACGTCATATCTCCGTGGAGTTATGTCGTTTTGGAACGTCATACCTCCACGGAGCTATGCCATTTGGAAGGTCATATCCCCGCGGAGTTATGTCGTTTAGGAAGGTCATATCTACGCGGAGTTATGTCGTTTTGGAACGTCATATCTCCAAGTAGTTATGTCGTTTTGGAACGTCATATCTCCAAGTAGTTATGTCGTTTAGGAACGTCATATCTCCGCGGAGTTATGTCGTTTTGGAACGTCGTATCTCCGCGGGGCTATGCCGTTTTGGAAGGTCATATCTCCGCGGAGTTATGCCGTTTTGGAACTTCATATCTCCGCGGAGTTATGTCGTTTTGGAAGGTCATATAACTCCGCGGAGTTATGTCGTTTTGGAACGTCATATCTCCAAGGAGTTATGTCGTTTTGGAACGTCATATCTCCAAGGAGTTATGTCGTTTTGGAACGTCATATCTCCAAGGAGTTATGTCGTTTTGGAACGTCATATCTCCAAAGAGTTATGTCGTTTTGGAACGTCATGTCTCCAAGGAGTTATGTCGCTTTGGAACGTCATATCTCCGCGGAGCCTTGTCGTTTTCGAAGGTCATATCTCCGCGGAGTTATGTCGTTTTGGAACGTCATATCTCCGCGGAATTATGTCGTTTTGGAAGGTCATAACTCCGCGGAGTTATGTCGTTTTGGAACGTCATATCTCCGCGGAGCTATGTCGTTTTGGAACGTCATATCTCCAAGGAGTTATGTCGTTTTGGAACGTCAATTCTCCAAGGAGTTATGCTATGCCGTTTTGGAAGGTCATATCTCCGCGGAGCTATGTCGTTTTGGAACGTTATATCTCCAAGGAGTTATGTCGTTTTGGAAGGTCACATATCTCCGCGGAGTTATGTCGTTTTGGAACGTCATATCACCGCGGAGTTATGTCGTTTTGGAAGGTCATATAACTCCGCGGAGTTATGTCGTTTTGCAACGTCATATCTCCAAGGAGTTATGTCGTTTTGGAACGTCATATCTCCGCGGAGCTTTGTCGTTTTCGAAGGTCATATCTCCGCGGAGTTATGTCGTTTTGGAAGGTCATAACTCCGCGGAGTTATGTCGTTTTGGAACGTCATATCTCCAAGGAGTTATGTCGTTTTGGAACGTCATATCTCCAAGGAGTTATGTCGTTTTGGAACGTCATATCTCCGCGCGGAGCTATTATCCGAGATATTAAAAAAAAACCATCGAAAAAGATTCGGTATTCGCACCGACCTCGATTTTGAAAAAAAACGTGATGATTTGGAATGTCATAGCTCCGCGGAGTTATGTCGTTTTGGAACGTCATATCTCCGCGGAGTTATGTCGTTTTGAAACATCATATCTCCGCGGAGCTATGTCGTTTTGGAACGTCATATCTCCGCAGAGTTATGTCGTTTTGGAACGTCAAATCTCCGCGAAGCTATGTCGTTTAGGAACATCATATCTCCGCGGAGTTATGTCGTTTTGGAACATTATATCTTCGCACGGAGCTATTACCCGAAATATTAAAAAGAAATCATCGAAAAAGTTTCGATTTTCGCACCGACCTCGATTTTGAAAAAAACAACGTGATGATTTGGAAGGTCATATCTCCGCGGAGTTATGTCGTTTTGGAACGTCATATCTCCGCGGAATTATGTCGTTTTGGAAGGTCATAACTCCGCGGAGTTATGTCGTTTTGGAACGTCATATCTCCGCGGAGCTATGTCGTTTTGGAACGTCATATCTCCAAGGAGTTATGTCGTTTTGGAACGTCAATTCTCCAAGGAGTTATGTCGTTTTGGAACGTCATATCTCCAAGGAGTTATGTCGTTTTGGAACGTCATATCTCCAAAGAGTTATGTCGTTTTGGAACGTCATGTCTCCAAGGAGTTATGTCGTTTTGGAACGTCATATCTCCGCGGAGCTATGTCGTTTTCGAAGGTCATATCTCCGCGGAGCTATGTCATTTTGGAAGGTCATATCTCCGCGGAGTTATGTCGTTTTGGAACGTCATATCTCCGCGCGGAGCTATTACCCGAGATATTAAAAAAAAATCATCGAAAAAGTTTCGATATTCGCATCGATCTCGATTTTGAAAAAAAAAACGTGATGATTTGGAAGGTCATATCTCCGCGGAGTTATGTCGTTTTGGAACATCATATCTCCGCCGAATTGTCGTTTTTAAATGTCATATCTCCGCTGAGTTATGTCGTTTTGGAACATCATATCTCCGCGCGGAGCTATTACCCGAGATATTAAAAAGAAATCATCGAAAAAGTTTCGATTTTCGCACCGACCTCGATTTTGAAAAAAAAACGTGATGAATTGGAAGGTCATATCTCCGCGGAGTTATGTCGTTTAGGAACGTCATATCTCCGCGGAGTTATGTCGTTTAGGAACGTCATATCTCCG